TTCCCTAAGATGAAAATATTTCATTTAAATTTTTCAAAGATGAAAAAAAATCATTTCACCTCTCTTTAAATCTAAAAAAGAATTTTTAACTTGAATATTTTTTCGTTATTATTTATGTGTTCCTCCCTAAGGCACTACACGGAAGGGACGGATGCTTCCGTGGAGTACTTTCTAAGGAAAAATGACTCGTATTAACACGTAACACATGGGGAAAACCACGAAAACGTCTATGCACCCAAGCCCGTTCGCGGGATTCGAACTTCGGAGCGAATTATCACTGTTCAAGGAGTTTTATCGCTCGGCCACTGGTGGTGTTATATACTGTAGCTACGAAATAACGAAACTAAATTTCTTTTAAATCCATCTTTTATTCTATTAGAAAATTAACTACTCAATTAGCAGCCATTCAATCATCCAAGCAACAAATTTCTCATCGAACAAGCTAATAAAAAAGAATTACGAAAACAAACGATATTGACGCATGCGCGTTACAAGATTCGTTGCTAAGCAACTAAGTTAGAGGCGAAAGGTTTCTCATAGCACAGACGATCAGGCGGCAACATCCCGCCCGACGTTGAAATACTAATTTCAAAGCTAATATTAATTAAATTCAAAGTTTGATACATATATCAGTTAGAAACAATTAAATGCAATAATATATGTATTAAACAAATAACAAACAAATTACTACATTTTACAATAAAATAGATATGCAATATTAATACAAGTAATTATAAGATAAATTCGCTACTTCAATCGTTCATAGGTAGAATACATAAGTTCGATATTCCACGTTTTATCATTCCTTGAAACATTTTGATAACAACAACACGGACTTTACCATCGCTTCCAGGAATGGTGTCATAGATACGGCCTACTATCCACGTACATACATGAAGTTTATCCTCTTTAACTAATGCAAGAATACCTATTTTTATATTGTCCTTTTGAAAGAACCATTTACTTCTCTGTTGAAGATTGTTTAGATAATCTCTGGACCATTTGTTCATATTATTTGGTTAATTTTAACAATTTTCTGCCAGCGGAAAAGTCTGTTATCGGGAATTTCTGTTATACAAGGTTCAGGTAGAGCATTAAGAGGTCTTCCGATTAAAAAATGACCAGGGGTCAAAGTTTCGAAGTCATTTGGATCTGAAGATAAAGGTAATAAAGGTCCACTATTTAATATACCTTCAATTTGATTTATAACAGTCAAAAATTCTTCGAGAGTCAATTTCTCATTTCCGGTAATTCGTTTTAAATGATGTTTAAAGGATTTCACCCCGGCCTCATATATACCACCGAAATTGGGAGAACGCGGTGGGTTGAATTTCCAAACGATTGATTCAGAAGCTAAATACGACGACAGACTACGGGAACTTTTGACGAGGTTTAACAGCCCTTTCAAATCGGCGTTGGCTCCGACAAAGCTGGTAGTGTTATCCGAATATACAGTATCTCACAAAAGTGATGGGACACTTGTGCTTTACAAAAGAAAACTGTAATAAAATATATTAAAAAAACATGTAAAAATTTTTGTGGGTGTATTCCATACTTAAATTTAGTAGCAATTATTACATAACATACATTTTCTCAAAATATTAAAATATTAATTTAATAAAAATACAATTGTTTAAAACGGAGCGAAAAAATGGTTCACATAAGTGATGGAACACCATTAGATACTACTACGTACTCCAATAAAAATATTTTTGGGGTTTTTATTTTTACTCAAAACCAATTGGAAATAATTTATAAAATCGTCTGCAGTATTTCTCTCCAGTTTGTTTTGGAATTTTTGTGTTTTTTAGCTCGGTGCAGCCATGAATGCTAAACGAAAAGAAACTTTGTCTGAAATTCGAAAATTAGTTATTAATTTGCATATTGAACGTGGAAAATCTATTAGAGAAACTCCTGAAACAGTTAACTTGAGTCATTCAACAGTTTAGAATATCATTAAACGATATAAAAAGAATCATATGATTCAGGATAAAAGAAGACCTGGCCGACCATCAAAGCTATCCAATGGAATAAAGCGAATTATCGTTCGAAATATTAAAAAGAATCCAAGAATGAGTGCTCCTAAAGTTGCTGCTGATTTACAAGCATTATATGGAGTAATTGTTAAACCTAAGACTATTAGAAGAGTAATTCGATCTGCCTGGATATCACGGTAGAGCAGCCAGGAAAAATTCTTCGTAAGTGAAAAGAATAGAAAACTCAGACTTGCTTTCGCAAAATCCAACATAAATAAGAATTCTGATACTGGAATGAAAGTTATATTTGCTGATAAGAGTAAATTTAATATATTTGGTTCTGACGGTAGAATCATGTTGTGGAGAAAACCCAGGGAAGAATTTCGAAAACAGAACTTGGTGCCAACAGTAAAACATGGTGGAGGAGGAGTTATTGTATGGGGGTGTATGTCGTCCGCTGGAGTTGGTACTCTTGTTTTTATTGACAGTATAATGGATCAGTACAAGTATATTGACATTTTAAATCAAAATTTGAAATCTTCAGCGCGAAAATTGAACTTTCATTACCAGGACAATGACCCCACGCACACTGCTTTGAACATTAGACGCTGGCTGCTGTATAACTGTTCTGAAATAGTAAAAACACCACCATAATCTCCAGACTTAAATCCCATACAGAATATTTGGCAAGCATTGGAATCAAGAATCCTCAAACACACCATTTCTTCAAAACAACAATTAAAATCGGTGCTTCAAGAAGAATGGGGTAAAATCACTCTAGAAATCACAGAAAAATTAGTCGAATCCATCCCAAGAACATTAAATCATGTTTTGAAAGTAAAAGGAAATCCAACAAAATATTAAAACCTTTTAAAAAGTAAAATTTTTGGATAAATATTTGATGGAAAAGTAAGTGTCCCATCACTTATGTGAGCCATTTTTTGCTCCGTTCTAAACAATTGCATTTTTGTTAAATTAATATTTTAATATTTTGAGAAAATGTATGTTATGTAATAATTGTTATTAAATTTAAGTATGAAACACACACACACAAAATTTTTACATGTTTTTTTTAAATTTATTTTACTACAGTTTCCTTTTGTAAAGCACAAGTGTCCCATCACATTTGTGAGACACTGTATAGTTGAGCTAAGGCCGCGTCGCGCGAAAAATCTTTTTAATGTTGCAATTACAGCCTGCGATGTTAAATCCGTAACAAAATTGAGATGTATCGCTCGAGTAACTAAACATACAAAAATAACAACATACATCTTATTTAAGGTACCTCTTCATTGATTTTTATATTTTATATAAAAGGGACCGCATAAATCAATTCCAGTTACGGAAAAAGGGGGACTCACAAAAACTCTTTCCTTCGGCCAATGGTGCCATAAGTTGTTGGGCTATTTTAGGTTTATTTTTAAAACAGATAATGCAGTTATGTACTATTTACGAGTAGTGTTTCTGCCGTTTAGTGGCCAAAATTCCTGTCAAACACAATGCAGCAAAGTCTGAGCACCAACATGTAAATTTTTTTAATGGAAGTATTGCATAATTATAGTAGTTAAGTTATGATCTCTAGGCAGCAGAATAGGATGCTTTTAGTCATAGGATAAAGATGATTTATTTAATCTGCCACCTACCCTAAGTATTCCATTTTCGTCGATGAATGGATTTAAATTACTTAAGTGACTACCCTTTATAATTTTACCATATCTAAGGGCTTGAATTTCTTCCTTGAATACTATTCGCTGTACTAGCCTTACCATTGTTAGCTTGCCATACGTAAATTCATCTCTAGTAATAGGACCTGATTATCTCTTACCTTGTCGACAGTTGGAAATAAACCTATAAATAAAACTAAGAATACAAATTAGTTTAACAAAACTATTACTTAAAGAAAGAAAATAGTTAATGAAATCAGCACTAGAAGTAATACTAAGAGAAGTTTCTGGAGATTTTTTCATTTCGCATTCGTGAAGATCATAGTCCTTAACATCCAAACTAGCCTTATCTATAACATTCATGTCAAGATTAGAAGGTCCATTGAACCATAATTCTGAAGATAAAAGTTCGCTAGGTTCGACTCCACGAGTAACCAAACCAGCAGGATTCTCCTTAGAACGGATATGTTTCCACTCGAAGTTTTCTGATAACGACTGAATTTTCGCAGCACGATTCCCAACAAAGTGCTGTGATGAGGTGAAGCGTTTATCCGCGCTAATGCAATTGTCGAATCCGAATATAATGTTACCTTTTCAATGCGAAGTCAAAACACTTTTAACATCCTTAAAGGGGCTACTCGAGATCTGCTTGCCAGTAACTTTAAACAAAGGTTATCTTGAGTGGCATTTAGGTAGACCAATGCTCCATACGCAGATGTTGAAGCATCGAAGAAACCTATGATAGCCCTTTTATCGGTTGTAGAATGCAGAGCATATCTTCCTATCTTAAGATTTTCCAATTCCTTTAACTTTAAAATGAAACGATTCCATTCACTGGCAAATGATTCAGGTAATTCATCGTCCCAGTTCACTTTTAAAGACCATAGTTTCTGAAGGAATATTTTTGCTTTACAGATGATTGGCCCGATAAAGCCAATAGGATCATACAACCGCGCAATGATTGAAAGGACATGTCTTTTCGTAAAAGAAAAGGAAAGCGACTTTAAAAGTAAAGACGTCGGATTCCGGTTGCCAAATTATGCCAAGAGTTTTCGTAAATTCACTGGAATCAAAGTGAAACTCTTCCTTACATACTAAAGTGTCTAATACACTATTAGAGTTAGATTGCCATTTGTGTAAAGACATTCCACAGCTTTCGAATATCTTTATTAGATGATTCTTTATTTTAATAGCAGACTCAAAATCAGAGGTTCCTGTAACTATGTCGTTCATATAGACGTCAGAAAGAATCACTTCAGAACCTAAAGGGTATTTCTGCTGTTCATCCAAAACTAGCTGTTTTAGAGTTCTTATAGATAAAAATGGAGCACATTTAGTCCTATACGTTGCAGTATTCAATCTAAAAAGTAATAGGTGAGTCGTCTTCATGCTCTTTCCATAAGAAACGTAGAAGATTCCTTTGCGATGAATCAATTAAAATCTGTCTAAACATTTGTTTAATGTCTGCGACCAGTGCTATTTTATGTTTACGAAATCGAACAATTAAATCAAAAATATCCTCTTTAACCTCTCCTGAGGGTGAAATATCATTCAGACTCAATCCTGTAGTAGTAGGAGCTGATGCATTAAACACAATGCGCAATTTCGTAGATGATTTTTCAGGTTTGCAAATTTCATGGTGAGGAAGGTAGAAAGTAACGGGTGGAGGATTTTCTTCTTCAACCCTTTCCATGCGATTTAAGCTTTCGTAGTCATTGATAAAATCGGTATAAAGCCCTTTCAGGTCTGGGTTTTTATTTAACCTTTTAATCGTCTGATTAAGACGTTTATTAGCAATGTTTCTTTAATCACCTAATTAAAGAAGTGCTTCTTCTCGAATAGGCATCTATACTATGAAACGCCCACTCTCATTTCTCCTATGTGTCTTCTGATAATGCAATTCGCAAAACTCCTCTTCTTCGCTTTTAAGGGGTTCGTTGGCTATTTCTTTGATTTGCCAAAATTTGTGTACACATTCTTCTAGACTTTCCGACTGGGAGATTAGCCCAAAATATTCATGTGAATTTTTGGGCTAATCTCCCAGTCGGAAAGTCTAGAAGAATGTGTACACAAAATTTTGTTGAATTTTCAGTTTCAACAAATCCACTAGCAATAAATCCGAAGATTGAATCTTGGAAAAGTAAAGTACTAGATAATCGAATCTTTTCGCTCCTTCACTAATTCGAAAAAACGTTCAGCACCCAATATCAGGTCGATCTTTCCTGGCTTGTCAAAATCTGGATCTGCTAAGTATATATGCTCAGGTATTTTCAGATTTTCTACTTTTATTCTGGTAGCAGGTACAAAGTCTGTTATTTTAGGTACAACGAGAAAGGTACTGAGTTGAAAGAAGAGTCATTATTACTAATAAGAACGTCATTTAATTTCCATTTAATATTCATCGTATTTCCACTTAAACCATTAACAGGACTATTTACCTTATGTTTGTTAAGACCAAGCGAAGAAGCTAACTGAGAGGTCATAAAATGCGATTGAGATGCACTATCCAGTATCGCTTTGCCGCTAATATAATCACTTCGAATCGGTGACCAATCCTTAACCATGGCTGTAGAAAGCAAAACTGTTTTGTTCGACATTTTATTTAAAGATAAAAAAGTTTTTACCACTTCAGTTAAGTTTGAATTTTTTTATTACATCGGGCGAACTAGGGTTCTTTTTGTTTTGCGTATTACGAGCATCTGCAGTCTCTGAAATGGGAAGATATTCCGACTGCAAACTTGGCGAAATATCTTGATCTTGCGAAGTTTTTTGATACAAGGAATTTTTAGTTTCAGA